TGTTGATGGTTGTGGGGCTGCAGGACAGCACCAACAACGTGGGGACATCACACAGGAAGTGCTCAATGTGGTTCGGACCACAAAAGTTCAGCCGTAGTAGAAGGCCCGTGTGCACAGATGTGTTGAGTGCACCAACTGTCCACACAGTCATGGCCAGCAGTGTACACAGCGACCAGCTCATGATGGCACTGTAATGCAGTGGCCGGCAGATGGCCACATAGCGGTCAAAGGCCATGGTTGTGAGCAGCAGCAGCTCAGACCCCAGGAACCAGGTCAGGAAGAAGAGCTGGGCCAGGCAGCCCCTGTAGGAGATGGTGTCTACCCCAACCACCAGGCTCTCCAGCAATTTGGGGAGAACAGTGGATGTGCAGACAATGTCCAAAAAGGCCAGGTTGGCGAGGAAGAAGTACATGGGAGTGTGCAGGCCTGGGCTCAGGTTAATGGCTGCAAAGATGAGACCATTCCCTGCAAGGGCCATTAGGTAGAGGAGGATGAAAAGGACTGAGAGCAAGCCCCGGATCCAGGGGTCTTCCGAGAAGCCCTGCAGAATGAACTCCACTACAGCTGTGTAGTTGCCTGTTGCCATGTGTGTGAGCCTCTTGGGTGCCTAGACAGAGGGGGCCATATGGTGGGTGATGGGGTCCTCAGCCATGGCCCTGATCAACTCCACCAGAGCTTGTTAGCAACTTCACCCAGAGCACACAACAAAGGCATTAACAACTCCCTGTGTCCTATGGGCCAGAAGCAAACCAAATCCACTGCCATCGAGTCCATTTCAACTCATAATGCTTGTGTAGGACAGGGTAGAATTGCCCCATAGGGTTTCCAAGGCTGTAAACCTTTACAGAGGCGCTCTAGTGGTGTAATGCCTAAGGCATTTGACTGTTAACCAGAAGGCTGGTAGTTCAAACCAACCAGGCCACTCCTCAAAAGGAAGGTTGGGCAATCTACTTCTGTAGAGGTACAGCCTCAGAAACCCAAGGAGCTGTTGCTATGAGTCGAATCAACTCCATGGCAGTGAGTTTGTTCTTTTGTTTTGTTTTGTTTTGTTGATGGGCTTAGGAGAGTCCAAGGTCTTGCCCTGTGTGGTAGTT